GTCCTTAGGGGTCTCTTCAATGGCATCGCGATACGCAGCCACCGCTTCTTCAGCATTCATAAACCGCTTTCCTTTAAGTTTTTCTTTAATTTTTGGAAATAAATAAAAATCACAAGGCGCGAGGTCGGGGCTATACGGCGGGTGACCCAGTAATTCAACGTTTGATGTCGCCAAATAGTCGATCGTTCGCTTGGCGGTGTGCGACGAGGCGTTGTCGTGGTGAAGGAGGATCCTACTGCGAGGTCGTTTCTCTCGAACTTTTTCCAAGACAAGTGGCAAACAATTGGTAGTGTACCATTCTGCAGAAACTGTTTTTTGATCCTCTAACACAATTGTTGCAAAATGACCTATCCTTCCAAAGAACGAGGCCACCATTTTTTTTCCCGCACTTCGATCTCTCTTCACTTTAGTTGGCAACTCCTCGAAAGGAAACACCCACTGAGCAGATTGTCTTTTGGTTTTAGGATCATAACAGTAAATCCAGCTTTCGTCACCTGTTAGTATGTCGAACACAGCATTTGAGTCACCTGCGTTAAATCTTTCAATCATTTTACGACACCAATCCACACGATGGAGTTTTTGAGCCTCAGTCAAATTATGAGGTATCCACCGGGCGCAAAGCTTCCTGACCGCTAAATGTTCGTGGAGGATTTTGTGCACTTGACTCATACCGATGCCTAAGCTTGTCCGAATCTGTTGATAGGTCACTCTTTTGTCAGTCTCTATCATACGCCGCACAACACAGATGTTATCTTCAGTCGTCGCCGTAGAAGGCCGTCCCTCACGTAAATCATCAGTGAGATTAGTGCGACCACGTTTAAACTCATTAAACCAGTTGTAAACAGTCGCACGAGATGGGGCTTCATCGTGAAAGGCCAATCGTAGTCTATCATAACTTTCTTGTTGACTTAAATGACATCGAAAGTCATAAAAAATCATTGCACGAAAATTTTCTCGTGTTAAATTCATGATGACGTGACACAGACAATTTTCAATTTGCCGCCAAATCGTAAAACAAATGACAAATGAATGAAATATATACTCAGTAATATTGGCAAAGAGTTATATTTTCAAATTTTAGAATTATTTTTTTATTATATTGTTTATAAGTGGCCAGTTCTAAGAACTTTCAGTTTGACCCTCGTATATAGTTATAAGTTATATATGTTCCTCAAATTTTCAGAACTGCAAACTACTTTGAACTTGCCATTCAAATGCTACAGATACCTCTACATACCTAAGTAATATCCCTTAGTACAGGTTAGATACCTACTTCACGGGATCATTCCAAAGAAGTTCCCACGCTATAGAACTCTGCTCCGCGGGCCTTATGAGAGGCACAGGGACCTTATCGATTGCCGTTATAAGTGGGCACACCCACGGTGGAGGTATGCCACCGTGGCAACAAAACACCTGAAAATTACACCAAAACTCGATTGTAAGTACCTCTGCAACTTCATTATAATGTAGCCTACGTGAAAATTTTTAGTGCGATAAAAAATCCATCATCCAAAAATGTAGATATTCGATTTATTTACCTTTTCGTCCACGACTGCCGCCAACGGTAAAGCATCAAAAACATTGTTGATTGCGTTCCATATTCTAGGTCCTTCTGTTTCACCATATTTAGCGACGCATTCGCTATAAGAAAATTGTAAACATACAAATCGCTGCTCGCTTTCAGATGATGTATATCATGATGATAATTGTGATATAAACTTCCACTACTGGGGGAACGTAGCAGAAGCCTTTCCTGTATACCCATGAAAACACTAGTCACAAGACGGGCACAATGCTGTTATGTGCAGTGATTTACATTGCAGGCATTCCAAGCAATCATAATTTTCCTATCTTTCTAACTCTGCTTTTGGTGTTCACTAACCAAACGTACTCACAGCAGGCTATACAAGTTTTTGCTTAAATCTAAAAGTGTCAGACAGCAAAAAAATTACTTGAAAAATGTGAACATCTTCTGAATATCTCTAGTCTCGTGATTTCCGCGCACCATAAGTACGGCGTTGGGCCTTTGTAGTTTCGCAGCGAGCAAATACGCCATGAGCTCTGTACCATGCGGCCCACGGTCTACGAAATCGCCAAGAAAAAGGAACCGGGATGGCGTTAATGCTGTGCCCGACGGCCATAACGCCGACTCCATTGTTAGCAGAGCTCCCAAGTTGCCGTGCAAATCACCTGCCAATTGAACTACGTTTAGTGCCTTTGTTTTTTATAGTTGTTGGTCGTTAATTGCATTCGGCTGGTTAAAGAAGCTATACTACAAAAAAAAGCAAAACATACTCTAGTGATTTCTTTAAGTTTTCGATGTAGCAAAATCATGGAGAAAATACGCCTACAAGGAAATATTTTGTAACATTATAATAAATAGTGCCGGAAAACTTTAAAGAATTGAAAGGCGGTGTTCTCAAATACATAAAGTCTATGCAAGCAGTGAAGATACGATACGAATGCGATTATGAGCCCTTTGAAAGTTACTATGAAGCATGTATAAAAATATATTGGACGATGTAACACACTATATCCTTACTACAAAGTTAACTGGCACTTGCAGCATCTTACCAACAGCGTATACTGGTGAGGACAGTCGTAGTAATCTAGGTTCAGCTGCGCAGATGGGACGTACAGCGTCAGCGAGCTTCAACAGCATGGAACCTATTGCCGCCTCCTCTGCCGCATTACCCCACGACCACGCTGGTTTGCTCGTGGGTACCTGCGTATTCGCGCCCCACCCTCGGCCCTAGATCACAATCTCGTTTCTATAGCTGAAGGTTTGCTGTAGGCTATAAGGTACTTTCATTGGGTTATGCGTAAATAAATGTAAAATTGATAACGGCAGATTATATTGTTAAATCATTAGTGTTAGAAACATCAGAAAAAACGAAGTATCACGATCATCTAGACCCGGAGATAGAAAAGATAAGAATGAAGACAGGAAACAAATCCAGATCTCGAGGATGTCGATATTTTGATCTGATTAATTAAGCCGTTGCTGATTTACTATGAGTCTTACTACTTGTACATTAGTGCTAAAGTCGCAAAGTTGATGACCTAAACATACATTCTAGGTAGATATAATCACAGAACACAGAAAGACCTCTTTTCCGTGTTCTGTGGGTATAATAATATAAACGTCATGTTTCTATAAAATTGTCCTAGTTCTAAAATCGTTATAAATTAGTTTAAATTGATTATAAGAGTAAACAAAAAGATAAATGTTTAATTATAGATCACAAAACTTTCTTTGGAATCGGGATTATAACTAATTTTGTAAAAAAAAATTCGCTATAATAGGCTAGTTGACAACTTTTTTTTATTTTATAAGTAAATAGTCCATTCCCTTCTGAGCATGTCTGCGATTAACAGTTTCGGAGATACGGTGCTGTTTGTGGAACTGCTACTAGTCGGCCGAAAACGCTCCCTACAAATCCAAAGCACTAAGTGACGTCACACAGTGCTACGGTAGTAAAACATGTGTAGCTGTCTGGGCAATCTTTGTTATTTGTGCGTTTATGTTTCTAACTGTTATAATGAAAGCTGTAATATTTTATCTGACTAATTTAAAGCCATATGAATTATAATAAATTATTGCAGTATATTTTTGCAACTTTTTCAAGTCTTCAAAACGTAATATTTGTCAAAACGTAATAAATATGTATAAGTTAAAATGGTTCATATTATCCGAACATATTTATAACAAAGACATGTATTTTCACTTGTAAGACACAAGCCTATTTATCAGGATTAAGGGTAAGTAGTGCCAAAGATTGCTCTTCTCACCTCGAGGCAAGTCCTCATGGTTGGTGAGCCCTGATTTGAAACATAAGGTGCATTTCCCGTGCGTTAACAAAAAAATGGATGAACTACAGAGGCTTATTTTAAAATCATATCAGAAATATTTTTTCAGAGAAATAGAGACTGATCTCACTGTCGTTTTATCTATGGGAGTAGCGAAGTAGTGCACAGCAGCCAGTGCCTCAACTGGTAACGAAGACGATCCCAGCACCTCCAGCGACGCAACAGCTCCAGTTACCAACCGCGCTGTTGACGCGCTCACCGCCACATCTGACCAGGTCAGTTTGAGATTTAACAAAAATAGTATATTAGCTTCTTTAATTTAGTCGTTACCTATGCATGGGCTTACATATGGGCCTGCTCTCTATGACATATCCATCCCGTTCTCGGTAACACACATTAGCATTGGAATAAGCATCGCATCGTGTATAGCGAGCTGTGTTTTATGACGTATGGTTTATCCAAGAAGTTTTCTCAATGTTCCATTTATATTATTCCTATTATTCAATCTCCTTTCTATATTAGCGGTGTACCAAGTGTCGTAGCTAACACGATTCGGGTCTGACTGGAAAGTGGGGACGCCAATTGTATAAAAAGTTTTAGAGCCGCTGTGTCACCACCCTCGCCACGAAACTCGGCCATGCGTGATCCTTACATTTGTTTTGGTATTGTCTCTTTAAAATACCCTTATTTGTGTACTTCGCATGCAATTGTAAAATTCATCTACAAAAAATATTTTTAATCATTGTGACTAGAGTTTGCGGGTCGGAAAGATTTTCTGCATGCACCACGGCATTTTAATATTAAACGTTTGAAACTTCAATAATAGGGATGATGACTAATTTTTGTTTGTTTGTCCGTCAGGTAGAGTGTTAAAAAATATTAAACAAGTATTTTTTTTTTTGTAATCATAAAATTACTGCAATACATGGAATTGAAATTTCGCATGACGTCACGTTATGGTACATTTTCTACTAAACTGTGACGTAGCGAGCCCCCACTCCTCAACTTTAATGCCTGTTATCTAAGCTATTTCTTGTTAAATTGAAGTAAAAAAAAAACTCTATTATCTGACTGACTGCCTAAATAGAATTGCATTTTTTTTTACCCAGTCGTCATCCCTATTTATTCTATTTCCTAAGGGGGAGAATGAAATTTTTATCTTGTACCATCAAACTGGGTCAGTTCAAACAGTTCATTCGGTGGACGCTTGTGCAGGCGAACTGTGTAGACTGCTACACAGTAGTCAATGCGTCGTGTCGGCTTCCCGCTTGCGCCAGCGGATGCGCTCGACGACACCGCTGTACTACAAATCCGGGTATTCGCGGACGCCGTGCCTGACCACCAAAATTTATGAAACTATCAAACCAAGAATACACTACAATGTGAACAGTGACCATCGCATTGTAAAACTCAAAATTAACTATTACATACATGTTACGTCAGTATTTCAAATTATGATTAAATGAATACTTCGACATATATGAACGTTTCAACTTTCTTTCTGGCTAAATACAAATTTATTTAATTTGAAAAAAATATGTTAATCGATTAAGATATGCTTACTCGTTTGTGCGTGAACTTTTGCTGTGTTCGCACTTTGTCTATTCAATTCGCGGTCGCCTTCCCTGAAACACCGAAATGTTGTGAAGAGCTTACATCTAGAATCATGGATTAACTACCTTTGTTCTAAGTTAAAAATGATGAAGTGAATAGAGATAACTTACTGCAAATCGTGGAGATAGCCAGAGATGCTTTTAGGCGAACGGAGTAAAGAACTCGTGCCGCGTAATCTCAATTCTCCTACCCCTCGCAGAAATTCAGCAAGGGGAAGTTGAGTATTCGGTTGGATACCCAATTGCCTGTAGCAAAAGCTATTAGACAACTTTGACACATTTACCAAAACATGTTCTTTTTAAAAATCGTATAAATCTCAAAGTATCATAATTTAAGCCAATGTACAACCTACTTAATTCCTCCTCCTTCACAGACTCTATAATTAACTCATTACGATACCAGAGATAAATCAATAGCATTAGATAGCTAAAGCTTTATGTCATCTCAATCACTCAGGATTGTAATCATGGCTTATGAATAGAGTATCCATGTACTATTACTTACGAAATGTTACGATTCATCATAAACTTTAGCTAAAATAAGCATTGCAGATAGGCAACAACTCTGCAATCTTATAGTAAAAGTCGTTATATAAAAAACAATATAACTAAAATGAAACACTGAACCTAAGACAGCCGTCTGTATCTCTGGCAACGCTCAACGCGTCCACTGGCAGCTGTCTGGCAGCGCGAGCGGCGGCAATCAGTTCTTTGAACTCTATGTATTCCAATTTCAGGTCGCGATTGCTGTCAAAATATCTGAAGAGAGAAATAAAATAAAACCTTATCAAAATTCACAGGGTATAGTTTCTAGTTTTCTATTGAACCTTTTTTTGGCAGTGTAATAAAATAAGCACGTAATATTGGACAGCTAGGTCCTACAGTACAGCTAGGATAGCTAGGCTAGCTGGGACTAGGTTATCTTAACTGTTACTGTAAATAACAATTAAGATAGTTGTCAAGACACTAGTATTATATGAGTTGGCTCATCATTAGATCAACTGAAATTGCTACTAGGGAATAGTTTCCGTCTCAAATATCTGTAATAAAGACTGTAAGATTATTATGATCTTCAAATGCAGAGGGGATTTAAAGATTATTCCACCTGTAAACGGTATGAATGAATGAAGGTACCTAAATATATATCGGCATCGTATTTCAGCGGGTACACCAGAATGTTGCGTCACAGGTTCTAGTGCCGCCATCCATAGCACCAGCTCCGCAAAGGATAGCCCTCCACGACCCGTTACATCTGCTGCTCTAATAAACGAATCATACTGAGACCTCAAGCTGGGTTTTATTCATCATATGATATTAATATGCTGATGATGGATGACGTACAACTGATAGAAAACCTATATTATTCTACATATGGACTTAGGATCCAATCGACAAAATGAACCCATTATGATCATTAAGTTTGTAAAAAAACCATTAGTTACCTATAATTTATTAGTTTTCTTATTTTGTTGTCTTTGTAGCACATTTGATAAATGTTTAATCATAAAATTGTTAATTACGACAGTTTTTTTATTTTATTTATATTTTATCTCTCTTTTATACTCTGTTATTCTTACCTGAAAAGACTTGTACATTGTGCTCTCTGCCAGCCGAGATCTAACATAAACTGTGAGAATACGTGAGGACTCATATAAAGCGCTGGGTATACCATTACTAGAAATTCTTGGTACATTCGGATTTGGTCTGTAAACATAGTTAATACTTATGGCTAGAAAATTACTTCCTTATGAAGACGTCACATTATACATTATTCCATATTGTTTAAAGTCAGTACTTTATCATTCGATGTTCTAAAATAATCTTAACAATTCCTTTTCTGATGATGAAAATAGATCAATGTTGCAGTACCTAACTGTTATCTTCTCTGCAGGAAATTAATTGAATTTAGCTATTAGATTGTAATTTAAGGGCGACGCCACGTTTAACACCACAGCTCCTCAAACAGACTACGAGTGTTGAGCGATTCTTGTAATTGATTATGCACAAGTTGTGCTTCCTCATACTCTGTAATTTGAGATTGATATTACAGAGTATGAGGAAGCTTAAGAATGATTGCAAGATTCCCCTATGCTCGCTTATGAGAGGTGAAAGTGCCCATGTATCTTACATCGTCTGTAAAAATTGTACTGTATTAGTGACGGAGAGCAGAAGAGTATTGTAATGGTCGATACTGTACTATCAAGAGTGAATGCACACTTGGAAATTACTAACGGTATACATCATTTAGTACCCAGTGCAGAGGTCCGGTGCTGGAACACCTGGGTTTACGAATATATATACCTTCGTTTGTATAATTTGCTGCATGCAACAACTGACAATTTGGCAAGGAAAGCGAAACTGCGCCACTCCCTTCCATTCCGATGATAACATTGTCTTCGCAAATTTCTATAAGTATTCCATTATCCAAATCCTGAACAATTTAAATTGCACCTTGATAAAATTATCAGTTCGATTAGGAAATCAAGAATTAAAAAGACTTTATGTTAAATAAACGTTTGTGGAAGTACCAGTTCGGCTTCTTTAGGAATCTCCGAAGTGGCCATCTGTGCAAAAATAGCCACCTCAGGACTTCGCAACATGGAGTGTACCCGTTGTCGCTCCAATTCTACAGAGTTAAACCACTGCAGGCGATTGCGGACAGCGCCCTGGACATTTATTAAATAGACATCAACAAGAAGAGTAGGTATAATATTGCTAAGAAAATTTATGACTTTGCATCCCGGGTGAAATTGAATTGAAGCTTAGGGGATAAAAATTCGAACACAAATTCGAAATTCTATTTTAGTATAAAAATACAAAACAAGGCTAAGTGATTCATAGTTCATCATTGATTAATTCAGTCTTTAAAGTCAGTCCTTAATCCTTCCATGTTCTAAAAGAATCTAAACAGTTCCTTTTCTGATAATGAAAATTGAGCAATGTTACAGTACATAATTTATATTCTAACATAATCGCTCTGATAAAATTATTCAATACAGATTAAAATAGGGCTACTTGCAGTCGCCAATTCGGATGTACAAACTTCGATTCAAACAAATCAACCTATCACGCGCAATTTAATTTTTCATTAAGACCTAGTTATTCGTTATCGCCCCGAGTCTTTGTCGAGTCTGCCGAATGTTTAATTGGTCCCTATAAATTCTTGATTACAGACATCTTGTCCTTCCCACATCCTCCAGACTTCAACATGAACTCTACATTGCAAAAGCAAATATAATTATCTAGGTATGACTTTAACACATAAGGGAATAATTTTAGTCATCATCTTTCGTATCAGATTAGTATCAGAGAGCAAATATAAGCTCAATTGTACGAGCCTTATCTGGACACTGCATATTAAACAGACACTTATTTAACATGAAACTAAGTGACACTGACATTTGCAGATATTGCAAACAGGAACGTGTAACACCAAAACCAGAAGATATAAAATCTCTAAAAGCCAGGAATATAATAGACTTTTTGAAGTCTACCAGGCTAAAGGAGTTACTATAAATCTGGCGGCGAGTCACAATAGATCTTCAAGGTCGCAGTGACTACAGTTCCTCAGGGAACTGCATAGCCCCTTACAGCAATAAATAATAATAATAGTATCAGATGTTCCAAAAGTACCTTTATTTTTATCCTTTTCTTGGTATCACTTTTTACAGTGACTTTATAGATGGTGTGATAAACGCAATTTTGGGTATGTTTGGGTAACCAGACCTTGTAAACTCTGAGAGGTATGCATTGGGATCCTGTGTCCACTCCAAACAGCTGGAATACAAAAAGATTGTTGCCATAATGAATGTGTGGTATGACGATAACAAAGCTATTATCAATGAGAAATGTTTAAAAAATCCACGTTTTCCCTGGCACTCTCAGATGGGACCCGAACTCATGGCCTTTCGCAATCCAGGCGACTGCTCTAACAACTGAGCTACCCAGGACCTAATAGAACTGACGAATTTTTTAAGCACTTCTTACTTTTTCGCTACTACAAAGCGTTTTTTCATCATATCAACCGCATCTAACGAAATGAAGCCTCTGTAGACATCATAGAACTTTTCACATCAGTATATTGTTAATAAGGACCCAGCCCGTTCATATAGGCAAACTAGGCAACTGCCTAGAGCGCTCTTATTTAAAGGAATAGCTACTCATGGCAAACAGATTATGTTTGCTCTAATTTATCTGAACCTTAAAAATGCAGTACTGTAAAAATGGCTTTTGTACTTTGAACATGAGTCTATGTGATTTTCTGACCGGCAGTACCCTACCTAAAGAGTTTCTTTAGTCATTGGTAAAATTACACTCAGTTACAGTCTTCTCTTTTGTTGTGATTTTTTATGGGTACATCCAAGGGTTTTGCCTAGGGCGATAAGTTTCATTGAGCCGGCGCTGATTGTTAATAAGATATATTATGTAAATCAAAATAATAAGGATCAATGTCCTTGATGTAATCATGACGATGTATTTTCATGTAACTTATTTAAATTTGTATAACCGAAATTAAAACATTTCTAGTTCGCTTACGGATTCGTAAATAAAAGCTAAGAAAATTCAACAAGGAAATTAAGTAGCTTTTCATATTATTTTAGTTTGCACTGAACTCATTTATCGTTCTTCTAGCCGGTCCTCTATTATACATTCTTTTATAACTTCTTCTTGAATGGTATTCGTATACAAAAGCAATATAGCTTGCCCGATCTTTAGTCAGTGGCACGTTATGCCGTTAATCCTGGCTGCATCTGTAGTCGTTACCACTCAAAAATCCACACTAGGTCCGAGTGGTGACTCTTGTTAACCAATTCTCCCTATTTGATTCGAATTCCATTCATAGGGAGGGTCTGTGCTCCCGCAGTGGGAAGTTTTAAATGGCTAGTGACGTGTCATTAGCGCCAACAAAATGATTTAGGGTTGGGAGAGAATGGCGGTCTTCGGATAATACCTATGTAAAATGCAACCTTACTCTTGTTTAAATGCAACCTTACATAGATGAACGTAATGGAACACAGCAACATGCCACGTTGCATGTTTAAGCCCGTACAATTAAAAAAAGAGCTTTACAATAAGGATGACGACTGGGTAAAAAAAATGCAACTCTATTTAGTCCGTCAGTCAGATAATAGAATAATATTAGATACGATTTTTTTTTACTTCTTAGGCATCAAAGTTAAGGAGTGGGGGCTCGTTACGTCACAGTTTTGTAGAAAACGTACCATAACGTGACGTCATGCGAAATTTCAACTCCATGTATCACCGTAATTTTATGATTACGAAAAAAAAATACGTGTTTTTTAACACTCTACTTGACGGACAAACAAATAAAAAATTAGTCGTCATCCCTATTCTCTTCATAGACTACGACGATGATGGGACGGACGTGCTTCAAAGACCGGAGAGGAAGGGCGCCATACGAAGTTTTTGCCCCGGTTAGGAAAAATCATCGGTCGGGCATTTCACGCCTCCGCCTCGTCTGGCGGATGCGTCTCGAATGTCTCTGAGACGTACACCCAACCCGCAGAGGGACCTGTCCTTTTGAGGGCAAGCCGAAATAGGGGCGAACCGCGCGGTTTATAGCCTCCGGGCGGAATCCGGGCATCGCCTTCCATGCGAGGGACATCGCTGGGTTGTAGTGAGTATACCCCTGCTCTTTCACTAGCCGCATTCTGGGGCGGGTCTGCAGGGGGGAGCCCACATAACCCCTGTTAGCCGCGCTGGCGACCCAGGGTATGCAGTAATGAGTTTCCCAGCGTCAAAAAAAAGGGAGGTACAGGTTAGTATTATCTATTTCCATCTTCCCTTCCTATATGTTATAGAATAGACTAGAATAACAATTTATTTTGACAACACACACCACATACACTAATAGCACAAAGTAACCATACAATACAAATAACAAGGAAAATGTGCAATGTTGTGTTTTGTCAAAACTGGCGCCAGCTCAGTATAAGCAATGAGTGACGTCTATTGCACTGGTATTATGCTGGAAAACAAATCTAATTCAGTAAATCTGTTCATAATTATATTTCAGTAACAACGTTTTTTTTTAAATTAGGTATATATAGTTTATTATTTACCTCAAATATGATTTTGTGAGCAGTCATTTTCCAGGAGTTCTTTTCTGCTTTACTACAAGGCAGCCAAAACTCTCCACTGGTTTCTTTCGTAAGTAGAAATGATTTATCTGTTGGACAGCATACCAACACGGAAACGACATCACAGATTTCTTTATAGTTCTTGAACATCTTAAAATCAAATTTTAAACATCCTAACTTAAGAAGTAAGAATTTATGTAGATCTTACTACAGATCCTAATTCTTCTTATATTCTAAAGTAAACAATCAGCTTATTCAAGACTGTCATTTCAATTGAATATAAATTTTAATAAAAGATAATTAGTTTAACGTTTTAATTTGAATTTATTAACCGAAATAATTTTGTAACATTTTTGTTACCTAGGTTTTGACATCAAACTCTATAATGTAGTTCAAGAGTTCGTGACAATAATGTGTAAGAGTTTTTTAACGGTTCATACTTTAATATGTGTTTTGGTTCTACTGTGGTAAAATACATGGAATAATTACAGGCTGATTTAATATACTATGTTGTTAAGTAGCTTCTACATTTTAAGTCATCAAACACAGAGGAGCTTGATGGCGGAGTGGGTTAGCACGTTCGGTCTGCAATACGGTTATACGTAATGTAAATGTGATAATCATAGCAAAATTTAGGTACTTGTGGTTGGAAATAGATTACGACTAAATACTTACTTAGAAAAATTCAACTATAGCTAGAATTTTACTTCCGCACTGGATACCCAGGGTTGCCACCTTTTGAAACAAAATTCGGGTCATTTGAACGGTCATTACAAGTAATCGGACTTTAGTTCAAAGTATGTCATAGTAAAAATTATAAAAAAATACTGACGGCGTGAACTGCGTGGGAATACCTATGCAATACGCGCATAGAGCGATTGTTAACCGTTATCTAAAATCGGGACAAAATAATGTCCCGATTTTAGACTCGGAACGTGGGATAACATCATTGAAATCAGGACTGTCCCGGAAAATTCAAGACGGATGGCAGACCGGGTATTCTTATTACCTTTAGATACTTCAGCTCACTGAAGCCTACCTATCAACCATAACAAATCTCTGTTGTATTTTTTTGACGCGAGCTCTCCGTCTATAAGCAAAGAGAATTGTACAGATTATATCATGAATTATCAAAATAAAGATAAATATAAAGATATTTAAACTTCTTGGACTGTACTAAAGATTTAGTTATTGTTCTGAGTGATAACCAAGACTTTATAAGCTTCTTGACCCGTCTTAGTGCTTGCCTCTTGGTACAAGTGTCTCATTATTATAAATCCATGATTTACTTACAAGAAATTTGAATATTTATACTTACTCCCTATATTCACAATAACTGAGTCGGAATTCGGACACCATGTCCACTTTTGCTAACACTATACGCGCATACTACTTACCTATTTTAGTTGCGTGAGGTGAAAAGCTTGTAAGAATCAAAGGGTAGCTTTCTCAGATATTAAAACAGTCATTATCCTTATTAATTATTCTAAATATTATTTATAATCTGTTTGTCGTCTCGATATCAAATACTTATCTTTAGTAATCTCTAGCTTTCCGCCAGCGA